TTCTCTCATTTTCCCGTATCTAGCTATTAAGCTTCTCAAAGGCCGAAGGGTGACCTTCCTATTTCCCATACAAAGATCTTCCCTTATGTCTACCTTGGGAAGGACTTAATTGCACAGGCGTGGAGAGGAACTGGGAAAATATTGGCCATCCCTTTGATTTCGAAACTTCATGGAGAACTGCAAGACAGGAAGGGAGCTGGTTCCCCTCAGGTACTAGTTCTTGTACCTACAAGAGAGCAAATCAAGTAAGCAAAGACTTCAGTGACATCACAAAAAAGCTGGCAGTGGCTTGTTTTTATGGTGGAACTCCCTATGGAGGTCAGGTTGAATGCCTGTAGAATGGGACTGATATCCTGGATGGAACACCAGGTCGGATCAAAGGTCACCTACAGAATGGGAAACTGGATCTCACCAAACTTACGCATGTTGTCCTGGATGAAGTTGACCTGATGTTGGATACGGGAGATTTTAAGTGTTGCATATAAGAAAGATTCTGAAGACAACCCCAAACATTGCTTTTTCCTGCAACTTGCCCTTGTTGGCTATTTAATGTTGCTTAGAAATGCATGAAACTTACATATGAACAAGTGGACTTCATTGGCAAAAAGACACAGAAAACCACAGTCACTGTGGAGCATCTGGCTAGCAAGTGTCACTGGACTCAGAGGGCAGCAGTGACTGGGGATGTGATCCAAATGTACAGTGGTCACCAAGGATGCCCTATCATCTTCTGTGGAACCAAGAAAGAAGCCCAGGAGCTGTCACAGATGTGGCGACAGAGCGGGATGAGCAGTCACCACATGGAAACATCCCACAGAAGCAAAAGGAAATCACCCTGAAAGGTTTTAGAGCTTTTGGAGTTTGGGTGGCAAGCGATGTTTCTGCACGTGGGTTAGCCATCCCTGAGGTTGATTGGATTGTACAAAGCTGTCCACCAAAGGACGTAGAGTCCTACATTCATCGTTCTGGGTAGACAAGTAGAGCTGGAAGGACAGGGGTTTGCATCAGCTTTTACCAGCTCAGGGAAGAATATCATTTGGTATAAGTAGAACAAAAAGCGGGAATTAAGTTTAAATGAATAGGTGTCCCTTTTGCAACAGAAACAATAAAAGCGTCCAGCAAAGATGCCATCAGGCTTTTGGGTTCTGTGCCTCCCACTGCTGAGTCACTTCAAGGAGTCAGCAGAGAACTGACAGAGAAGGGAGCTGTGCAAGCCCTTGCAGCTGCACTGGCCATATTTCAGGCACTGTGTCAGTAGACCAGAGCTCCTTATCAACTCAGAAGTGGGTTTTGTGACCGTGATCTTTTTTTTTTTTTGGCCAGGGCTAGAGTTTGAACCTGCCACCTCCGGCTTATGGGGCCAGCGCCCTACTCCTTTGAGTCACAGGAGCTGTCCTGTGACCGTGATCTTGGGGTGCTCGGTTGAAATGCTTGGAAAGAACTTAAAGAGCAACTAGGAGGGGATGCTGATTCCGGAAGGGAATGGTCGTCTTCAAAGGAAACCTGGGTGTGTGCTTTGATGTACCTACCACACCAGGGACAGGAGAAATACAGGAGAAATGGCATGATTCACGACGCTGACAGCTCGCTGTGGCCACAGAGCAACCAGAGCTGGAAGGACCATGGGAAGTCTATCGAGTCTTCAGGGGTCCGCTGATAGAAAACAGAAGCTTCAGGGTCCAGCAGGAAGGAACCAGAAGCTTCAAGGGACAGTGGTCAGGAGGTGGCAACAAAAGTAACAGATCCCAAAACAGAGGTCAGAAGAGGAGTTTTAGTAAAGCATTCAGTAAATAATTAGATATAGAAGACTTTTATAGTAAAAAAAAAAAAAAAGAATATAGAAGTGAACATTATCACCACTTGCCAGTCCCCTCTCCTTTCAGACAAACAAGCCTCATCTAAATTATTTTATCTGGTCATTATCTTTTATAATTTTATTGCTACTTTATCAGGTTTTTCTTTTGAAAAGGTATTGGAATTTCATTTTATTTTTATTCTCATGAATTGTGTATAGGTTGTAAGATAAAATCAAACATGCTTCTGACTATATTTTGTAAGCTGACTTGTCTTTATACTTAAAAATGTCTCTTAATAGAGTCCTTCCTTAACTACTTAAAGGAATGTAACATTCCCTGGAGGAGCACATTGGCCTTTGGAAGTCAAAGTTCTGTAACTGGCATCCCTCATTACCTGCCAGCTTCTCATGTGGTTCTATAACTTTGTCTTCTGAGACTTCTTACTGAGCAATGGTTTGAAACAAGATTTCAAACTTAACTGGGCTATAATATAGTTGAAGCTGTTGTATGCTCTAGGTTTGGAGGATACAGTATATTCAATATAGGTTACCTGGCTCAGCACCTATAGCTCAGCAACTAGGGTGCCAGCCACATACATTGGAGCTGGTGGGTTCAAATCCAGCCCAGGCCTGCCAAACAACAATGACAACTGCAACCAAAAAATAGCCAGGCGTTATGGTGGGCCCCTGTAGTCCCAACTACTTGAGAGGCTGAGGCAAGAGAATTGCTTAAGCCCAGAGCCTTGAGGTTGCTGTGAGCTGTGATGCCCACCCTACCCAAGGCGACATAGTGAGACTCTGTCTCAAAAAAACCAAAAAATTCCAGTTCAGGGAGGTGAGAACTAAGAGATACCTGAAAGTAAAGACAACTGTAATTTCACAGGATAGACTGTACAAGAAGAATAAATGTTAGGATTAATTATTACCTTTTGTTGTTCTGAATAAAGGAAAAGATCTTGCTTGATCTTTGGGTTATACATTTACCACACAGGACTTGTTAAAAAAAAAGTTATGACTGCTTGTATATGCCTCCTTTTATGATTAAGTTACTGAACAGAAATAAATGTGATTTATAAAGCTTGTAAACATGAATAAATATTCTCAGCGCACATTACAAGGCCCAACGTATAATTAAAGAGATCAATTCATTTTAAGATTAGCACAAGACATTTTCTTTTCCACTGTGCAAGATGGTACAGGACCAATCTGTATTCATTAAAGAAAAGGTGCAGGAGCTTAATAGACACTGTAACTTGCCTAAATCATTGAAGTCCTCCTGCAATTCTTTCCCAATACAATACTGAGCTGTTGCATCCTCTATGTTCCTAGTACTTTATTATAGCATACAGTACATGCGTATTTTATACTGTCAAATAAAATGTATAAGAGGCCATTGTTTTAAAGGTCTGAGCTCCTGTACTAGGGCCAACAGCCCAAACCAAAATGGAGTCACTCATGCTCAAGTTGCACTGCACCAAGTTGAAATTACGTTATCTGTCTGACCTGCCAAGAAATCAGAAGAGAGAGAAAATAGCCAAATCTCAAAACAAGCCAGTTCAGGGGGCATGATAAAGAACTCTCATCTGCTTTAGACTTTTCAGGGAAAGCAACTTTGAAACAACCTATCTGCTTCTGGTTCTGGCTTTCTTCAACCTTTTCTGTAAAGTTAGGCTTCACTTAGCTCATCAAAATAGTCATTCTATTTTATAGCATGAGGTACTGCCTGATTCTACAATTGCAAATTAAAGCCAATTAAGATCTTTAAACTAAATGTGCAGTAATTTTGCTTTTGACACCCAGTTCTCCCACACTAGATATAAAATCCTTGAGATAAAGTTGGTCTTCTCACTCATATGGTTGGGGCTTAATCAGCACTGACTGCATCATCCAAGGAAACACGGAAATAAGAAGAGCACTATTTATTTAATGCTGTTTCAAACACTTTCCTTGCATTATCTCATTCAATCTTACACCACTCTTTTTTTTTTTTTTTTGAGACAGCGCCTCAAGCTGCCGCCCTGGGTAGAGTGCCGTGGCATCACAGCTCACAGCAACCTCCAACTCCTGGGCTTAGGC